TGGCCTCCCAAAGTGTTGGGATTACAGGTGTGAGCCACCACACCCGGCGTTGTGGTTTTAATTGAGCATTTTATGAGATTCAGTTTTCTCTTTTCATAGCATATAAATTTTACCTTTTTTCTTTTTTACTTTTTTAGTGATTACCCTAGAGTTTACAATCTACATTTACAAACAATCCAAGACTGCTTTTAAATAACACAATAACACTACCGCTTCATAGACTGTGGAAGTACATTATAATAACAGTATTCCTAATTTTTCCTGTCATATTTTCAGTTCACATACACATTGCTGTCCTTCATTTCACTTGTACATAAGCTGTAATCATTCGATTCGGAATGGGCTATTTTCACATATGAGATTTGTCCAAATTGTTGGATATATTAATAGTTGATTCCTATTATTTCATTGTATGAATGTTCCAGCTTGCTTATCAGTTTACTTGTTGAAGGACATTTGGGTTGTTTCCAGTTTGGCTATTACAAATAAAGCTGTCATGAACATTTATGTATTTTTTTTTGTTGTCGCTTACTTTTCATTTCTCTAGGATTATAGGTTAGGAGGTCAATTGCTGGGGTGAATGGCACATATGTGTTTAACTTTATAAGAAACTACTAAACCCTTTTCCAGAATGGTGGTTTGGTTTTACATTCCCAGCAGGAACATACAAGAGATCCAGTTTCTCAACATCCTCAGCAGCATTTGGAACTGTCAGTGTTTCTTATTTTAGCTTTTCCAGTAGATGTGCAGTGGTATGTCATTGTGGTTTTAATTTTCAGTTCCCTAATGGCTAATCATGTTAGGATATCTTTTCATGTGTTTATTTTCATTGACTCATCTTCTTTGGTCGTCTGTTAAAATCTTTTGCACATTTTTTAATTGGATTTTTTGTTTTGTGGAGCTTAGAGAGTTCTTTATATGATCTAGATACAAGTCCTTTGTTGGATATGTGATTTTCAAATATTTTTTTCAAGTCTGTGGCTTGTCTTTTCATTCTCTTAACAGAGTCTTTTACAGACCAAAAGTTTTTATTTTCTTTTGCCTTTTTTTTTTGAGATGGAATCTCACTCTGTCACCCAGACTGAAGTGCAGTGGTATGATCTTGGCTCACTGCAAACTCTGCCTCCTGGGTTCAAGTGATTCTCGTGCCTTAGCCCCCCGAGTAGCTGAGATTACAGGCGCATGCCACCATGTTCTGCTAATTTTTGTATTTTTAGTAGAGATGGGATTTTACCATGTTGGCCAGGCTGGTCTTGAACTCCTGACCTCAAGTCATCCACCTGCCCCCACCTCCTAAAGTGCTGGGATTACAGGCATGAGTTACTGCACCTTGCCCAAGTTTTTAATTTGATGAAAGCACAGTTTATCAATTTTTTTCTTTTATGGATTGTGCTTCTTATTTTTTAAAGTTGGAATCTCCATGCACCACCACACCTAATTAAAATAATTTTTTTTTTAGAGACAGAATATTGCTATGTTGCCCAGGCTGGTGTCGAATCCCTGGCCTTAAGTGACCCCCTTGCCTCAACTTCCCGAGTTGCTGTGATTATAGGCATGATCCACTGCACCTGGCCAGGAAATGTTTTGTTTTTAATCAAAGTACTATATGGACATGGTTTTGAAAAGTCAACTAATATGACAGACTTAATATAAAAACTGCTCTACCACCCACCCTCACCACTCCAGAGTCCTTTTCCACAGAGGTAGCCACTTTCAAATCTATAAGCTGTTGCTTCTTGCTGTTTACCTCCTTATTTATTTATTTTGAGACAGTTTCACTCTGGCTAATTTTTATATTTTTAGTAGAGTTGGGTTGTCACTGCGTTGGCCAGGTTGGTCTTAAACTTCTGGCCTTAAGTAATCTGTCTGCCTTGGCCTCCCAGGGATTATGTTGGGATTATACCACATCTGGTCCTACCTCCTTACTTGTAACTAATACGTTTTTACTGTTGCTTTTTGCTTTAGTAACTTTAGATATTTTCTATTGAGCACTATCTATGATGAAAGATGAAAATTTAGCATTCATAGACTACCAATCCTGCTTCTTTTTTCAGAATCTTCTCAGTATAGCTACCTCACAATTTTTGGTTAAATATTTGGTATTTATATCATAGTAATTATGTAAATATTTATTACTGTTGAATTTTGTCATATACTATGATTATATGACCTTTCTTGAATAATTTCTGTTTTTCCCAAAGTATTTGGTCTGTATAAAAATAATTTATTCTCCATATAACTATTATTCGTTGCTTCCAAATTCCCCTATACCGTTGTAACATTCCTCAGAATAAGGTTAGACACATCAAGTGAACTATCAGTTCTATGGTTTCTTCACCTGGAGATCTGGGAGCCATTTTGACTGTTGTCCCAGCCTGCTGCATGGCTGCTGTTTACTATACCATGGCCCTGTGTTGCATCCCCTGTTTCTTGAATTTCTTCCTTTTTCTTGGCTTATTCCCTCATGTGGAAGGAGTATATCTTATAGTTTTCTTGTAGGTTCCTGGGAGGCCTTTTGAATCCTGTCAAATCAGAAAAAAAAAATTTTTTTTTGAAGTCTCGCTCTGTTGCCTAGGCTGGAGTGCAGTGGTGTGATCTCAGCTTACTGCAGCCTCCACCTCCCAGGTTCAAGCAGTTCTCTGCCTCAGCCTCTTAAGTAGCTGGGATTACAGTCACCCGCCATCACGCCTGGCTAATTTTTTTGTATTTTTAATAGAGATGGGGTTTTACCATCTTGGCCAGGCTGATCTTGAACTCCTGACTTCATGATCCATCTGCCTCAGCCTCCCAAATTACTGGGATTACAGGCGTGAGCCATTGTACCTGGCCAGAAAATATTTTTATTCTACTTTCAAACTTAGTTGGTAGCTTGAAAAGCTATAGAATTTTAGTTAAATTATTTCCTCTTGGTCAGGCTCAGTGGCTCACACCTGTAATCTCAGCACTTTGGGAAGCCAAGGCAGAAGGAGTTTGAAACCAGCCTGGGCAACACAGTGAGACTCTATCTCTGCCAAAGAAAAAATATTAGCTCGGCTTTGATGACATGTACCTATAGTTCCAGCTACTCAGGAGGTGTGAGGATCCCTTGAGCCTAGAAGTTTGAGGTTACAGTAAGCCATGATCATGCCACTGTATCCCAGCACTGTACTCAACAACAGAGTGAAGTCCTGTCTCTTAAAAATAAAAATAAACTTGCACTAGATATGGATAAATCCATAATATTTTTTGCGAGTTTTAAAATCTTATAAGTAAAACTATACCATATATATTAGGTAGCTTTCTTTTTTTAAACATTTTATAGTTTTGAGATGTATCTGTTTAGCTCTGTTTTATTTATTTTCACTAGTATATTATGTGCCCTTATAATTTTGATAGCTTAAAATACTATTGTAAGTTAGGGATTTATGTATTTCAGGGTATTTTGGAGTGCAATGGTGCAATCTCGGCTCACCGCAACCTCTACCTCCTGGGTTCAAGTGATTCTCCTGCCTCAGCTTCCCGAGTAGCTGGGATTACAGGCATGGGCCACCATGCTCAGCCAATTTTGTATTTTTAGTAGAGATATGGTTTCTTGATGTTAGGCTCATCTTGAACTCTGACCTCAGATGTTCTGTCTGCTTCAGCTTTCCCAAAGTGCTGGGATTGCAGGCATGAGCAACTGTGCCTGGCTTTCATGGTGTTTCTTTATAGCATTTTCTAATTGGGCTTAACAAGTCCTATTTCAAGAAACTAAACCTTATGATTAGCTGGCTTAATATAAAGGCTTGATTGAAGCTGAATTCAGTTGAAGTGAAATTGAGTTATTAGGGCCCCTGTCCTGTTGCAGGAAGGATGAAAGTAGTGGCTGGCCTCAGGTTCAGGGGAAGGCGATGAGGAGCCAGATCAGTATTTCTCTCTCAGATTCAGAAGAGCCAGCTGTCCATGTGCATCATCGGGGAAGCCTCTTGCCCTGAGAATAAGCACCTCAGTCCAGCTTCCAAATTTTGACCATGGCTTCAGTGTCTTTGTGGAATGAGGAGGGACATGAGGAAGAAAGTGAGTCACTAATATACATTCTCACCTGACCTGAACTGCCTTTAGTCCCTGGACACATGTAGTTTCCTTTTGTTGTGATGGTAATTTTAAACTAGTGTAAATTATTGATCTTATCACCATTTTATTATTGAATGAGAGACGTTTTCCAGACAAATCAAGATAAAACATGATCTAGAGCTATGTTAAGTGTGATTTAAGGAAGACAGTGGTGATTCATATTTGTAACTATTAGCTTTCTCCCCTTAGTGACCGAGAGTAACCAATACTGAAGAGCCTCGTGCATACTAATTGTTTATTCACTCCCTTGTTCCTTCAGCATACTGTTTAGGGAATGCCTTTTACATGCTAGCCTAAACGTTGGGGATAGAAAGATGAATAAGATAATTCCTGTTGTAGACATGTGCATGGTTTAGGAGAAGAGGCATGCCAACAAAAACTACATATGTGCACTATAGCAGAATGAGAGAAACATTAAATGTGATTCCTATGTAATTGGGATCTCTCACTTGAAGTGGGTAATTCAGATTTGTCCCCGTGATCCCCGTAAGTGGAGGTAGCACATGGTAATTACTAGAGCTATGTTATCTTTGTTGCACATTCAAGCCATCCAGATTTCTGTATTTCTTTATCAGCATTGTTTTGGTTATAAAACCGCTTCATTTTCAGACTGTTAATAAAGTTATTGTTATGAATTTGCTCTGAGACATTTTCTTGGGTAGAGGTATGCCCATCCTAAGATACATGGTATAAGTACCATATAGATTTGGATTTCTGTGTTTGTATTGGCTAAGACAGGTGATAGCCCCGTATTTTTTGTAACTTTGTATCTGATGTCTGTTGTATTTACAAATACAGAAAAGTGTGATTTTCTTTAGTAAGTTTATAGTTTTTTGTAGGTAGGCAAAGCATGATGACTTTTGAACAAGTTTAATTTTTTTTTTTTTTCTGTTTTCATTTTTTTGTAGGTTGTCTTGTGGAAATGCAGGCTTAAGAACAAGTTACCTGCCAAACTAGAAGATGGGATCGAATAGCAGCAGAATCGGTGATCTTCCTAAAAATGAGTACTTGAAAAAATTATCAGGCACAGAATCTGTCTCTGAGAATGACCCGTTCTGGAACCAGCTTCTCTCGTTTTCTTTCCCTGCACCAACTAGCAGGTAAGAGATTGCCTGGAGATTGAACATTTGAATACAGGGCCATATCAACTTGTGTGGTATGCTGATTTAAAAAAAAATTTAGAAATGTTCTATCTCTCTGTCATACATAGACCCGTAGAAAATCCAAAAGGTTTGAAAGTAGAAAATAAACTTTCTATTCTTTTTACCCCACTCAGCAGCCACTTCCCTTCTTTAGAGGTGATCACTGGTAGCAGTTTATTTGGAATCATTCTAGAGATAGTATAGGTTACTTACGCATATATCCCATATAGTTTCACAAAATTGTTTAAATACAAATGATAGCATATGATATGTGTACTGTTCTGTCCCTTGCTTTTTACCCCACAGTTAAGTAAAATATATCTTGTGTATGTGACACACAACTGCCTGATTCTTTTTAATGCTCTGGAGTATCCGTTAGAATGTATTTCATTGGTTTTATGTTGATGAACAATTAGATTGTTTTCAGTCTTTGTTCTGACAGGTATTGCTGCATACGTCATTTCTCATACATACAAATGTATCTTTAGTATAAATTCCTTGAAGTAGAATTGCTGGGTCAAAGTATATGTGTATTTGCAATTTGGTATCTATGCCAAATTGTGCTCCATGGAAGTTGTGGCATTTACACACCTTCCAGCAATGTATGAGAGGTGTGCTTCCCCATAGTTTTGTCAGTTTGATGCATTTTTAGACCAGTTTCAGGGGTGAAAAACAATATCTCATTTTAAACTCTTATAAAAACTGACAGACAATAATAATGTAGAATGACTACAATATTGAATTCCCATAGACTCAATAACTAGATTTAAAAAAAAATTTTATTTACTTTTTAAGAGCTTTCTTATGATAGGCAGAATAGTAGCCCTCCAGAGAAGTCCATGTCCTTGTCTGCAGAATCTAAATATGTTACATTACATTGCAAAGGGGAATTAAAGTAGCAAATGGCATTAAGGTTACTAATCAGCTGCCCTTAAAATAGGGAGATTATCCTGGATTATCTGGGCAGGCCCAGTATAATCACAAGGATTCTTGAAAGTGGAAGAGGGAGGTAGAAGAGAAAGTCAGATGTGATGTGAGGAGGACCTATCCTGCCCTTGATGGCTTTGAAGTTGGAAGGGAGGTCATGAGCCAAGAAATGTGAGCAGCTTCTAGAAGCCGGTGGAGGCAAGGATGCAGATTTCCCTCTAGAGCCTCCAGAAAGGAATGCAGCCTTCTTGACATCTTGATCTTAGCTTATTGAGTGTCAGACTTCTGACCTGCAGAACTGTAAGATGATAAATTTATGTTGTTTACACCACTAAATTTTGATGACTTTTATAGTAGCAATACAAAAGTAATACACTTTTTGAGATATGCTTCATATATCATGTAATTCACCCATTTAAAGTATATTCAGTGTTTTTATTCACAGAATTGTGTAACAATCTCCAGTCAATGTTAGAACATTATTATCCCAGGAAGGACTTCTATCCCATGCCCATTAGCATACATTAACCCAAACTCTAGATTGCACTAGCAACCACGTATTCATTTATTTTTTGACGGGGAGTTTCACTCTGCCACCTAGGAGTGCAGTGGTGTGATCTCTACTCAGTGCAATCTCTGCCTCCTGGATTCAAGCAGTTCTCCTGCCTCACCCTCTGGAGAAACTGGGATTACAGATGCATGCCACCACATCTGGCTAATTTTTGTATTTTTTGTGGAGATGAGGTTTCACCATGTTGGCCAGGCTGGTCTCGAATTCCTGACCTCAAGTGATCCACCCTCCTCAGCCTCCCAAAGTGCTGGGATTACAGGTGTGAGCCATTGCACCTGCCCATGAATTTAGTAACTACTACTAAGTTTGCCTCTTCTAGATGTTTCATGTAAATGGAATTGTAACAATAGGTGGTCTTTTGTAACCGGGTTCTTTTTTTTTCTTTTTCTTTTTTAGAGATGGGGTCTCGTTACGTTGCCCAGGCTGGTCTTGTACTCCTGGGCTTAAGCAATCCTCCCACTTTGGCAGCCCAAAGTGCTGGGATTACTAGCGTGAGCCACCACACCTAGCTGTGACTGGCTTCTTTGACTGGGTGTAATATTCATACATGTTGTAGCATGTACCAATACTTCCCTTCCATTCCTTTTTTTATTTTTTTGAGACAGGCTGGATTGCAGTGGTATGATCATAGCTCATTACAGCCTTGAACTCCTGGGCTCAAGTGATCCTTCCACTTCGTTACTGAGTAGCTGGGACCACAGGCATGTGCCACCATGCCTGCCTGTTTTTTTTTTTTTGTTTTTTTTTTTTTTTTTTTTTTTGCTTTTTTTTTTTTTTTTTTTTTTTTTTGGAGACAGAGTCTTGCTCTGTTGCCAGGCTAGAGTGCAGTGGGGTTGATCTTGGCTCACTGCAACCTCTGCCTCTTGGGTTCAAGCAATTCTCCTGCCTTAGTCTCCCAAGTAGCTGGGATTATAGGCATGCACCACCATGCCCAGCTAATTTTTGTATTTTTAGTAGAGACAGGTTTCACCATGTTGACCAGGATGGTCTCTATCTCCTGACCTTGTGATCTGCCTCCCTCAGCCTCCCAAAGTACTGGGATTATAGGTGTGAGCCACCATGCCCAGCCCATGCTTGGCTGTTTTTTAAAAAAAATTTTGTAGACATAAGGTCTTGCGATGTTGCCCAGGCTGGTCTTGAATACCTCACCTCAAGTAATCCTTCTTCCTCTGCTTCTGAAAGTTTTGGGATTATAGGCATGAGCCACTGCACCAGCCTCCATTCCTTTTTATTGCTGAGTGATACTCCATTGTGTGGATATACTACATTTTGTTTATCCATTCAGAAATCATTTGGGTTGTTTCTATATTTTGTTCATTATTTTTTAAGTATCTTAAAGTATATTTTTTTACATAACCCTAATACCACTATCACACCCAACAAAATTAGCAATAATTCCTGCTACCCAGTTTATATTTAATTTTTTCCAGTTGTTTTATAGTTTATTACAATTAGGAGCCAAATAAGGTGCATATGTTGCATTTGATGGTTCTCGTTCTTCAGTGTGTTTTAATCTAGAGTATAGGTATCCACTTCCCACCCTTGCCACTATTTTCTCCTTCATGCCATTTAAAAAACAAATTGTGTCAGTTTTTCTGTAGAATGTTCCATCTTCTGTATTTATCTGATTGCTTCTCTCACCTTGTAACTTGTTCTTTTATCCCATATATTTCCCACAAATTGGAAATGAGATTTAAAAGCTTGATAAAATATAGGTTAATCATTTTTTGGTAAGGTATTCCTTATGTAGAAAAAGTATGTTTTATATCAGTTATCATGCTAAGATTGATCAGAGTTTTGAGTGTATTTTAGCATCTGTTGATTTCTATGTGAATCACCTGTTTTATAAGAGGTTACAAAATGGTATTTCTAATATGGTCATTTCTACATTTATTAACTGGAGTTCTTCTGTAAAGAGGACTTTACATCATCAGGTTATGTAAAGTTTTTATTGTATGTATTACTAAATAAGGGTAAGCACTTCATTTTTTTTCTTTGCCAGTTTTCAGAAAGGGATTGGTGTAATCGTGACAAATGAATCTGTACTTCTCTTCTCCCTTGACCTCAGAGGTAGAGGGCCTATTTCTCTTGTCTTTTGAGGGTAAATTCACTCACACACACACACACACACACACACATACACACACACTCTCTCTCTCTCTCTCTTTCTCTCTCTCTCTCTCTCTCTCTGTCTCTCACGTTTTTTAGTGTGACTAATTGCAGCCGTTTTTTTTTTAATTTTTAAAATAATTTTTTTTTGTTGTACTTTAGGCTTTGGGGTACATGTGCAGATCATGCAGGGTTGTTGCATAGCTACTTAAATGGCAAGGTGGTTTGCTGCCTCCATCCTCCTGTCACGTTTATCTGGCATGTCTCCCCATGTTATCCCTTTCCAACCTCCCCACCCTCCACTGTCCCTCCCCTGGCCCCCCTGCAACAGACCCCAGTATGTGATGCTCTCCTCCCTGTGTCCATGTGTTCTCATTGTTCAATACCCACCTATGAGTGAGAACATGCGGTGTTTGATTTTCTGTTCTTGTGTCAGTTTGCAGAGAATGATGGTTTCCAGATTCATCCATGTCCCTACAAAGGACACAAACTCACAATTTTTTATGATTTAGCCGTTTTTCTTTTTGATACCCAGTTCAGCAAGTTTTGGATAGTGGTCCTTGTGGTTTTATTTGCCTTTTTTAAATATTTAAGATTGTGTTTATTTTCATATGTTTAAGGAGTATTGGTATTTCCTTTTCCATGAACTGTTTATATCTTTTAGCAATAAATTTTAATTTTTAACTTTATTGTATACAATTGGATTGTGCCTTAGAAGTTTAACTTAGTTTAAGTTGGGCGCAGTGGCTCATGCCTGTAATCCCAGCAGTTTGGGAGGCTGAGGTAAGTGGATCATCTGAAGTCAGCAGTTCAAGACCAGTCTGGTCAACATGCTGAAACCCTGTCTCTACTAAAATACAAAAAAATTAGCTGAGCATGGTGGCGAGTGCCTGTAATCCCAGCTAGTCAGGAGGGTGAGGCAGGAGAATCTCAGTTGCAGTGAGGCGGAGGCTGCAGTGAGCTGAGATTGCACCACTGTGGTTCAGCCTGGGTGACAAGAGCAAGACTCTGTCTCAAAAACAAACAAAAAAAAACAAAAAGAAGTTTAACTTAGTTTATAATTAATCCGATGACTTAGATTAAATATATTTTATATTAAAGTGGTTACTTATTTCTGTTTCTGAGATTCTTGGAAAATTTTAAGTTATTATGGCTTTATAGTTTGTTTTGTTAATTACTACTTTTACTGAAAGATTTATTTGCTGCTCTCATGTGTTTATTCTTTTTGATGCCATTCCCTTTTCTTAAACCACCCTGGTTTATAGAGACAGGTATAAAGGGATCTTAGAAAGTGAAAAAACTGTGAAGTAAATAAACTACATTGTAAATCTGTGGGGATATATTTATAAAG